AAAAACAGGTCACATCAATACAAAAAGAAGTTCCGGAACTACCAAACTCCTTTTCTAAAATTACTTCCTGTAGCAGATATGGTCCAAGGTCACACAAACAAGCTTTAAGGAATTTGGAGTAAGTTTTAAGGAACTTGGCGAAACTTCCACTTTTCTCTTTCTCAAGGTTAACGTCAAGGTGAAAACATGATAAACAAAGCAGCTTAACAAACAAGCAGCTCTCCACATGATACACTGTAAAAACTGCAATTTTCTCAATTGGCTCAAACAGTATGGCTTGGTTTCATTTGGTAAAATTAATAAAACAAATACCAAAAGTTTTTTCTTTTTCTTCCCGGAAGGGACAGAGAAACTATCCCAAGTTTTTTGTTATGCTGCCTAAGCTCATTATTTAAAATGCCTGATAAACTTTAAAATGTTTCATAGCCTTAAACATTTAAACATTCCTCAAAACCTGTTTTTGAAATATCAAAATAAAGTACCCTCTTTAGGAATGAAATCACAAAGCATGAACATAATTTTAAAAATCAAAACCAGATTTTACAACACAAACTCACCAGTGCAAACAATCCACCAATACCAATATGGAATGAGCCTTGTCTTCTTATTCTAAAAGGAAATAGAATGGTAAACAAAATTCATTTTGACTAAGAGGTTCTGTAATCTTTATTTTTCTTTCCCTTACCCACACAACATGGCAATCAAGATGGCGGAGTCACATCACATTCCATTGGGCAATCTACATTGTTGCTATTTAAACACATGTGTTTATAGACTTTATAAACACATAGGCACATATATATGTTCTAAATAAGAGTTTGAATTTAACCTTTAAACATACCCAATAACTCTTAATTTACAACCAAGACATACAGAGCATATTAACCATTTAAGATCAGTCAAAAACAAACATATGATGGCCATACATACATTTAAACCGACAAAACTGTTCTTACTTGATCTAAAACCAATGGTGGGATTCCATATCTACCAAAACTAACAGGTGGGATTCCTCATCCACCCCAGGGCCAAGGACTTTTCCTCTTGACCCTCATGGCTGTGAGTCTCAAGTGTGTCCACTCAGTCATGTCCCACCACTCCTACAGACACAGACACCTCGAGGCCTTTCAGAACAGAAAACAGAAAGGAGATGCAAACACAAATACTGCACAGAGACACTGAGACAAAAAACAGTCACCACCTGGCCAAGAGCAGTCCTGGACAGTTTCGTTCACATCTCCACCCTCGCATTCTTTCCCCCTCACATTCTTTCCTGACCCAGAGCACCTGCCAGTCCATTGCTGGTGGAAGCAGGGCAATGAGAACATCGCCCAGGTGGAGGCGTTCAGAGAAACAGGGGAGAGCTAGAGGAAGTCCCACAATGTCCGTCAGTTCGAGTCCCATCCGAAGAAATGAGAACGGTCACCACAGACAATGAATCACACTCACAGAAATGAAGCTATAGCCTCTGGCAAAAGTGAACCAAAAACCTGGCTTGTACCAGGGCTAATTTCCCGGGATCAAAACTGATTCCTCTGAGGCGGCCACAACATCTGCCTTAAAGAGGCTAAAACTGAGTTCAGACCAAGGCAGAGGCTTTCGGCAGCCACAGCTGAATTCACTGGAGTCCAGCAGCGACAGGTTTTACAAATCACACAAGCAGAGGCTCAAGAATACTTCACAAACATCCCTCCAGTCACATTCCAACTTTTTTATGCCTGCATGACTGGCAGGCCCAACTGCACAGGGGAGTGAGCCAAGGCGCCCAGTGCCACCGCTTCCTGGGAGCGTGGGGTGGGTGGGCGGCGGGACGCAAGAGCCCTTGCTGGGTAGCAAGGGGCATGGGATGGGAGTCCTCTCCCCAGGCTGACACCTCTCTGGAGCTCCAGCCGACGACGAAGTGCTCGCTGGGACCAGGCAGCCTGGGCCCAAAAGCGCTGGCCACCTGGAGCCGAGTGGGCATACTATTGGCACAGGTGATGCATTGTGGACCCAGCGGTATATTTTTCTCCTTCTAATTATTGGTGTTAAAAATTAACCTCTATAAAAAATTAAAGTGATTTTTCTTATTAATTAAACCAACTAGAGGCTTTAAAACGGCAAGAACTTGCTCTACATTTTAAGAATCTAAAGTCCTTTTTCAGTTGGTTTTTTTTTTTTTTAATCCAAAGCAAACTAAATATTATGCCCTTAAAACTTAGAGCTGGAAACATTTAATAGGGAATGATAATTTTGCTAGACAAAATTATTTTATCTGTTAAATCAAATTAATTATGAACAGCAATTATCACCACTCAGAAAGCAGCAAGGAAAAGTCTTGCCAAACTGTGGGCAGACCTTTATTTTCCCCAGCCCACTCTCTTTTTATTTTTGTCCACTAAGAGCCGTTAACCACCATTCTGCACTTATAAAACTACAGAATTTTGTATCTATCAAAAGTTACCACCTTCTGTTGATGTGATAGGTGCTCCCATAACCCATAATATTCATATGTAGAAGTCCTAATCTCTGAGTATAGAGCTTTGAGACTTCCAGATTTGGATTCAGTCCTGATCGGGGTGGGGGTGCGGGGCTGTCTGTTAAAGGGGGGCTCCGCCAAAGGATTGGAGCTTTTGTAAGATGATGCAAACTCACTCACAGGTTCTCTGCCTTGTGAGAGAACACAGTAAGATGTCGGCTTTGGGGCTGGAGAGATGACTCAGTGGTTAAGAGCATTTGCTGGACTTGCAGAGGACCTGTGCTTGTTTCATGCACTCACAGGATGGCTTGCAGTGTCCGTATCTCCAGTTCCAGGGAATCTGATGGCCTCTTCCGGCCTCTGCAGGCACCAAGCACACATGTGGTATATGTCCCCACACATGTGTACATGTGGGCAAATACTCATACATACAAAACAAAAACCAGCAAATCTTTACATTTTTTATTAGTTTACTTTATGCGTATGGATTTTTTGCCTGTGTATATGTCTGTGTCCCACATGCAAACCTAGTGCCCGCAGAGCCCAGAAGAGGGTGTAGATCCCCTAAAACCAGTGTCATAAAGGGTTGTGAGCTGCCAGGTGGGAGCTGAGGTTCAAACCTGGTTCCTCTGGAAGAACAGCCAGTGTTCCTAACCACTGGGCCATCTCCCCAGCCCCATGAATAAGTCTTTATAAAGCAGTAAGAGGAAGAAGAGAAGGAAGAGGAGGTGATATCAGCAGCAGCCACTCCCCAGCCAGGAAGGGAGCCCTCACCAGGAAATTAAATTCTCTGACACTTCGATCATGGATGTTCAAGCTATACAATATAAACCCCCAATCTATGCTGTTTCTTATGGTCACAAAGATCCATGCATTAGAGACATGGTTCCTGCGTGGGAAGTGATGGGGCTGTTCAGAGATAGAGCCTAGAGGGAGGTCTTTAGGTCATTGCAATGCATTCATGTCCTTGATGGGGGTAATGGGACTCAGACCTCTTTTATTCCTCTCTATTATCATTTTTTCTGGCTAAAGATGAGCAGTTGCAGGCCTATGTATCCTCATGGCTGTTATGTGCTACAAGCCCAAAGCAATACAATTCACCACAGACCTGAAACCTCTATGGAAACTATGAACCGAAGTTGATATCTTTTCTTGATAAGTTGGTTGTGTCAAGTTGGTTGTTGTGGCACAAAACTGATTAACATACGCCACTAAAGCTGATTAAGAAAGATAAAAACTGGGCTGGAATGATGGCTCAGAGATGAAGGGTGTGGCCTGAAATGTAATTCCTAACACCCACACGGGTAGCACACAAACGCCTAGAGTTGTATATTTGATACAACTCTTGAGTCCCCTGGCATTCACACGTGCATACTCACATATAGACTCAGGCAGATATGCATAACTAAAAATAAGAATGAATCTTAAATGAAATGAATCTTAAAAATGCATTAAAAACATAAACACTCGTAGAAAATTGCTGCATGACGTAGAAAGGACCAAATGGGATGAGGTTATTGTATGATGGGCACAGTGCTATTGTATGATGGAAGTGCTGCACTGTGGCTGTGCATTCAGTTTTCAAATCCCACCTGATCAAGGACTCTTCCACCACACATGAGCCTATTGTAAAACTTGCCCCAACCTTGGAGCAGAGTCAAGAATAATAGAAAGGGAGCAAAGAGGGGAGAGAGAAAATACTCATTAAGAAAAAAGAAGAAAAACAAGAGCCTCGGGTCTGAGACAAGAGAAAGCATTAGAACTGTGAGTGTCAATTTTAGTTCTGTGAACTTGGGAATGTAATTAACCTCTCCAAACCTCAATTTTAGTCTGAGTAAAACTCAGATAATACAAACTCTCACATTGTGTTCTGAGGACTGAATAAAAAAACGTATGTATAGTGGGGCCAATCTAGGTTTTGGTCACTTAAGACCTGGTCTTGTGAAGGTCAACCTTTCTGTTACTTCGGATGATATAAGAAGAGTGCCAGTCGAAGAACTCTATACTGTGATCTCAAGGGTAGGCCCTTATGAAGGCTAGGATCACCAACGTTTCTTACCAGAAAGTCAAGTCTCCAACAAAAACTCATCAAGATGGTGCATCCCTCGGGAGTTGTTACCATTGAGATCCAAGGGAACATCTGGGTTTGTGTCCTTTTCAAGTTGTGATTGTTCAGTTTCCCTTCTGAGTCTGTTACCAACACAGTTTTCCTAGAATAGTTTCTTATCCATTGTCCATTGCTTATGACTGGGGAGCCGAGTATAGATGATAAACTGAGCAGTGGAGCAGTTAGATAGAAAATACTTCACATCCTCTTTCTTATCAGAACAGGAGTTTTTTGGTATTTGATGTGAGGAAACTAATCAGCTGAACCATTTTAATTGCAGAATATTGTCCTAACAAGGCAGCTTGTCCTCTTCTGTGGTGGGGTGCTATGAGTTTTCCTCTGAGAAACATAGCATAGTAGCTGGGCATGGCGGTACACACGTTTAATCTCAGCATTCAGCAGGCAGAGGGGCAGGCTGACCTCTGTGTGTTTTAGGCAGCCTGGTCCACGAAGGGAGTTCCAGAACATCCAGGAAGAGATCCTGCCTCGAAAAAGAAGAAGAAGAACAAGAAGAATGAGAACAAGAAGAGGAGGAGGAGGAGGAGAAGGAGAAGGAGAAGGAGAAGGAGAAGGAGAAGGAGAAGGAGAAGAAGAAGAAGAAGAAGAAGAAGAAGAAGAAGAAGAAGAAGAAGAAGAAGAAGAAGAAGAAGAAGAAGGAAACAAAGAAAGAATAGTGTAGGAGAAAGTGCTTCAGCTTGTAACTCCATGACTCCATGATGGGGGTTCAAGGACAGAGTTTCCTCCTATTCATCTCATGACTTTGCAGACTCATCCAGCTTCCCTAAGTTGTTCTTCCTGTTGCCCCAAGTGCTTTCTGAGAGCCACCCTAGTTCTAAGTGGAGTTTCTGCCTATTAACATTATTTTCATTTATCCTCATCTACAGAACTATAAAAATGGGTTCTATTCCTTCTCATCTCTCACTACTCATCTTCAAACTAGGCCAGCTACACTTAATATGGGAATTATGCTCCCACTTGAGAAAGTGGCTGTTACTGTCGTATTTAGGTAGAATGCTGGTAAACTACCTTAACTTCTTGTAGTTGTGCTCAAATCTTCTGAAAAACCTTTCCTAAACTCCTGTGCACTGAGACTTGCTCCATCTCTTTCTGTCTGTTGATATCGCATTACTCATTATTTTTCAAAGATGTATTTGTTTGGATTAAACATATGAGTGTTTGCCTATGTGTATGTGTGTGTATACACTACATATTATATGTATGTATCAGCACCACATGCATGTCTGGTGCCCGCAGAGTACCGGATCCCCTGGTTAGAAGCAATTGTGAGCTGCAGAGTCAGTATGGAAAGCTGAAGTCCTCTGGAAGAGCAGCATGTGCTCTTAACTCCTGAGCTATCTTTCTGTCCCCTCACTATTTTACTACAGAAAGAAGCTCACTTCATGTTAAGTATGTATACTTGTGGATCCTCTCTTCCCTTGGGGGTTGTTGGCCACCAGCCCAGGAAGGCAGGAGGAACAGAAGGTGAAGGCGGCAAGACACACACTTCGAAGGACAAGAGCATGACAGAAATGACCTCCAGAAACCAACTCAGGGAGAGAGTTCAACTTTATTCAGGGAGAACAAATGCTTATAGTCCCTGGGGTGTGGACAGAGGCTCCCAGGATAACTGTACATGATTAGTTGGAACTAGGCACTTCAAGGATGCTTGATTTGCATTAAACAACACGGTCCTATCATGTGAACAGGAACACAATAATTATCCTGTAGGCACAGGAAAAAAAGAACTAGCAGGGAACTGTGTTAATGGCCATATATCAGACATGTTTAGAGGCATCTGTGCCTGACCTCTCCAGATGAGGTCAGGCAGATAATAGGAGGCCCTGATGGAGAGAGAGAGAGTCCTCCATCTAGCCCCGAGCTCAAAAAGGCCATCTAGACTGAAAGGACTGCATCCTCAAATAGCAGCATCCTTCCAACACATACTGGATAAAGTTGGTTTATATTTTGAGGTTTGTTTTTTTTTTTTTTTTCTTAGCACCCACTCTGACTCCCTAATAAATGAGATGGTGACTTACTGAATTTATTAATAAGCTTTAGGCTCAATAACTGGGCAGGTATACATTTATATAATATAGGTATACATTTATATAATTCTCAGTGCTAATCTTCTCTCCTCTCCCTCCTCTTCTCCTCCTCTTTCCCCTTCTCTCCTCTTCCTCCTCCTTCCTTCTCTCCTCACCTTGTAGTCCCTACCTGAGATGCCCCCAAGATTGGGAATGAAAGTTCCTCCTGTTGCCCCAAATAAGCTATCTGGCTTATTTCCTCAGCCCCTGAGCCATGGGCACCTTTTCTTGATTCTCAAGAACTTTGGCCTTTAAATACTCAATCATGGTGAACTGTTCATATCTTTCTCTTGGAATATTTTTAAGAATGCACATATTCTCTATTCTCTCAAATATCATGTTCTAGTCTGTTTTCCCTTCAAAATTTTTAGAAGCACTCTGCCCTCTGGTCCACTCTCCCTTTCACCACCACTCAGGTGTTTTTATTTCCATTCCAGGCTAGCTTCTGTGGCTGTGCTCCATTCTGCTTCATATGGTCTTTCAGTTCTGGCAGCTCTGTCTGTCCTTTGTCTGTTCTGATGGCCTTTTAATGGCTTTAGTTCTTGTATTGAACATGTATGATTTCTGTTTTTTTTCTCTTCCCTGTGCTGTCAGGATGGGCTTTTGTTTTGTTTTGTTTCACTTAGTGATTGGCTTTTCTCTATCTCATTTAAAATTTTCTTCTTATAGACACAAGTTTTTAAATATTTAATTCAGAGTTTGGGTATGGGCTTCCAGGATACTTCCTTTTCTCTCATTTTGTAATTGTTTCTTGTGCTGTTTAGTTAGCTAATTAGTTCTTCATTCGTTAGTTCATTAGTTTGTTTGTTTAGTGTGGCACAAGCTACACTCATCTGCAGAAAGGAACCACAGAAAACGCCTCCATCAGGTTGTCCTGTAGGCAGAACTGTGGGGAATTTTCAGTGTGGCCAGTACCACCGCTGGGTAGGTGGGTGGGTGAAACTGGGTTGTGTCAGAAAGGAAGCTGAGCAAGTCGTGAAGAACAATGCAGACAGCAGCACTCCTCCTGGGTCTCTGGGGTCCTACCCGGCTTTAGTTCCCACTTTGGCTTCCCTCAGTAATGGATTGTGACTAGGGAGGGCAAGCCAAATAAACCCTTTCTTCCTCTAGTTGCTTTTGGTCCCAGTGTTTATCACCGAAATAGGAACCAGATTAATACAGTAGTTCTCTATCTCTCTTGCAGCTCCTTTTTATCTGCTCAAGCTTTGAATGTTTAATTGCTCCAGAATTTGGGTCTCAGCAATTTTCTTTATGTACCTAGTACACTTGAGTAATCTTATCAAGCCCTTGGGCTTTAAGACAATGCAAACATTGCCAGTGTGTTAGCTTTTTGTCATGACAAAGTACTCAAGATAATAAACATATCACTCTGGCACAGCCTGGGTCCCACAATCCTGGCTGGCAGCCTAAAAGAAATAAAGCAAAGCAGACACACAGACACACATACAAAGAAACTGGGATCGGGTGGGGTGTTCTAACAGGCACAACCAGGAAGTTCAAAGGAGCTTCTTAGGTACAGCACGTGTGTGTGTGTGTGTGTGTGTGTGTGTGTGTGTGTCTCAGTAGGAGGTCTCTGCGGGTGAGCAGTCTCAGGCAGTAAACATCCGGAGGAGGATGCTGCAGTTGCTTATCTTTGCACTGATCAATCACTCATAAACACTCACCAAGGAAAGAGTGAGTGTTAAGCTTGGCCCATATGGGCGATGGCTTTTTTTTTTTTTTTTTTTTTTTTTGCCCTGAATCAATTTGCTTTGCAGTCGTCAACAGGCTGTGTCCATATTTATTCAGGGCTTCACTCATTCAGGGCTCCCTCTTCTTCTTGTATATGAGGAGGAAAGATTTCTTTTGGCTCACAATTTCTGTGCTTTCAAGCCCATTGTTAGATGGCACGTTGTTTGGGGCTTGAGGGGAGAGATGGAGGAGAAAGAAGAGGTGGGGAGGGGAGAAGAGTGGGAAAGGGAGGCTCAAAGCGATACCAGCATTCCAACGGCCTCTTAAGTGGCATACCTTCAGTGACCCAAAGTCTTCCCACTCTGCCCTAGCTCTCCTAACAGACCCCAGGCTGACAACCAATACATGGTCTTTGTCTTAGTTACTTTTATATTACTTGTGGCAAAACACTATGACCAAAACAACTTACAATAACTTAATGTGGGCTTACTGTTTCATAGGGTTAGATTCCATGATGGGAGAGAAAAGGCATGGTGACAAGAATAGGTGAGAGGTTATATATTGATCCACAAGTAGGAGGCAGGGGGCATGAGAACAAACACTTGAAAGGGAACCAGTCTTTGAAATCTCAAAACCCAACCCCAGGGACACACCTTCTCCAACAAGGCCACACAGCCCAATCCTTCCCAAATAGTTCCACCAACTAGGAACCAAGTGTTCAAACACATGAGCCTATGGGGGCCATTCACACTCAAACCACCATGTGTGGTCTTTGGAAGGAAGAAGGGACTTTGGGTAGCAAGAATCTGTCTGCAGATCTTCCCCGACAGTCAAAGTTGTAAATAACCATGGAGGTTGGTATGTTGCTTTCATCTCAAGTTTCTCTGATCAGAATAGTCTGCAAATGTTACCAGCCAAGTCAACTTTTATGTTTGGTGTATCTCATCCCACGTGAGGTTTTTGGGTTATTATCCCTTCAATTAGTTACACCTAAATCCTCCAGACACACACGAGAGAAAGAGAGAGAAAGAGAGAGAGAGAGAGAAAGAGAGAAAATGAGATGTCAAGCCATACAAGCACAGTCGTGTTTAAAAGTTAACAGGTCAAAATACAGAAATGTTATCTAGTCTTAGGGAAGAGCCATCAAAATTAGATAGTATGAACCACAAAGAAGGAATTTACTAAAACTGGATTTTACAAGCAAGCTTATGATAGATTTGAACTGGGCTATGTCGGTCACATTCACCTTTGCTCACCTGCAGAAATCTTTCTCTCACCCTCATAAATTTTTTTGTAAAAAAAAAAAAAAAAAAAAAGTAGACACTCTAGTGAGAATCAGCCTTGGGGGTTCTGTATTTTATTATCTAAAAGCAATTTCCAGAAGTCTTAAGCAATCATATGTATGTGTATATACATATAAACACAGATAATACACATATACACATATATATATCTATTCTGTGACACTATACATATAATATATATATATATATATATGTGTGTGTGTGTGTGTGTGTGTGTGTGTGTGTATCTCACATCTAACAAGCAGAGTCAGAGAGTCAGAACAGACGGGGAAAGACACAACATCACAGTTTTAAATACACAAAATATTAACACAAAGCACATTGTATTGTAATCAAATTTGTTCATGACAAGTTAAGTTTTTTTATTTTAAAGATTTATTTATTTATTTATTATACATGCAGTGTTCTGTCTGCATGCCAGAAGAGGGCACCAGGTCTAATTATAAATGGTTGTGAGCCACCATGTGGCTGCTGGGAATTGATCTCAGGCCCTCTGGAAGAGCAGCCAGTTCTCTTAACCACTGAGCCATCTCTCCAGCCCTCGTGACAACTGTTAATATTCCCATCAGCAATGGAGCAATATTCCTCTTTCTCCACATCTTCCACCAGCATGTGCTGTTGCTTGAGATTTTGATCTTAGCCATTCTGACGGGTGTAACATAGAATCTCAGAGTCATATTGATTGGCATTTCTCTGATGACTAAGGACACTGAACATTTCTTTAAGTGTTTCTCAGTCATTAGAGATTCTTCTGTTGAGAATTCTCTTTTTAACTCTGAACTCCATTTTAAAAATTGGATTATTTGGTTTGTGTTTTCATGTATTGATTGATTATTGATTTAATCTCATTACAGCCTAAACACAGCCCTCTCCCTCCTTTCCTCCTGTTGGTATTTGTTGGTTTGTTTGTTGATTAATTTTTTGAGTTTTGTATATATTTTAGATATTAGCCCTGTGTCAGTTGTAGGGTTAGTGAAGATCTTGTCCCAGTCTATAGGCTGTTGTTTTGTTCTATTGACAGTGTCCTTTGCTTTACAGAAACTTTTCAGTTTCATGAGGTCACTTTTATTGATTGTTGATCTTAGGGCCTGTGCTGCTGGTGTTCTGTTCAGGAAGTT